TTCTTTTTTCTTAATTCTATGTACTTGACAAGTGTTTTTTTATGAGGTAATAAAAATAGATATTTTGACACCAACTCCATTCTAGGATGTTAAAAAAAATGCTCAAAATTTGTAATTTTCGAACAAGTAAAAAATCAGTATTTAAAGTCAACTCAGCTATATTGTTTTGTCTTTTAAACAACGTATTTTTTTACACCTGTGTAAATAAGTAATAAATGTTTAATGTTATTCTAGGAAATACTAATAATCATAAAGACAAACATTTGCATACAGTGGTGGGCGGTTATATCAATACAATGAAGACGACTTTTATTTAAGTTTTGATGCTACAAGCTTTTTTCAAATTTGCAAGAAATCAAAGAAAAGCTTTTTTAATCGACTCGACAGCTTCTCTTTATTTTCATGTTTATGTGTAGTCATACTGCTATAAAGCTTCATATAAATTAAAATTTAAATCGAAAGTTGTCTTTATTATATTAATATATGCAACACGACTATATTTTAACAAGACCTGAATTCCTTTTTTGCAATAAAACCAGGGAATAGGAATATAGGGAAAGGAAATGGCGCTGGTCTGGCATGAGAAAGCCAGTCGTACCGTTTTGCAGACCAGTACGGTAATCTTTACACACACTCTTTTGGTACAGACACACAACATGATTACAGTGATGGAAATTGCAGAACAATATTGTCAATTATAATTAAGCTTGAATAACGACTGTATTTATTGTAAACTTTAATCAAGTTATATTCTTTGCATGAAAATTTGGCTTATAGTTTTGACTTAAATATATAATCAATATACTATCATGTATATTAAACTTATTTTTAAGTAAACAATTACCAAAAACAATTGTACTCTCCTAGACTGTACAAATACAAAGATTTGTATGTACTGTATATTACAGTACACACCTTCGGTACGGTAATCTTTACACACACTCTTTTTGTACAGACACACACACATGACGTTTCCGCCCCCTGAATAAAACTAAAATTGTGTACCGCCTCGTAATTAAGGTTGATAAACCTCTTAAACTAGATTTTCCATTTGGAAAACTTCAAAAAGTAAGTAAAATTCATAAATGGAATAATGTTTTTTTTATAGTCTTTTTATCATCTTTATGTTTTTTATTCACAGCTGTTTTTTTAAGTTCATAACAATAAACAAACACTTGTATGCTTGGACCACAGAACAGAGATTAGAATAAAAGGGAAATAGGACTATTCCTCGGTATGGTTTTGTTCAGTCCCTTTGAGCTTGAAAAGTAGTTTAAAGTGTACAATTCATGTAAAGTGTACAAATTATACGCAGTACATCGTATAATACAGTATGATCCCTTGACATAACCTTAACAATTTCATCATTTTATAAAGTTTATCCTGAAATGAACTCGGGAATGTATAAACTGCTTATTCTGAAAAGAACTCGGGAATGTATGAAAGGTTGTCAGAGAATTGATTTAGAGAAAATTATTTAATATTCAAGAAAATTTTTCTAAAAAAAGATGTTCCAGGGCACAAAAGGTGATATAACACAATTGTGTCAAGTACACCTGAGCCCAAAACTTAAGGCAGGGTATCGTTCTGAAAACCAGTCTTAAAACCCGGGTTTCATGAATGGGGTTAGGTTGTTTTGTGAATACCAATAGCAAAAATAGTCTTTCAGAGAAATTCTTTAAATAGTACTCTTTATAACACAATTATCAAAGGATCTTTTTTACAGCGTGTTATATGAATAAAATTGTGTTTTAAAAGTTAGAGTGCAAATCTGTGCATCTTTTTACAATTATATTTCTCTACACAATTTTCAAACTCGGCTTTAACTTTAAGGTCTATTTAGGTATCAATAGGTCAAAATATGATATTACCTTATAAATATGAAATGTGCTTCAACCATGAAACATAATAATTTTGAACTTTCGAGATTATTGTTTTTAAAATATCTATAAAAATGTCGAGTCGGTTGTTTTTAAACAGACATTGTAGCTGCACAATTAAAGCATCATCCGTTAAAGGACACAGTGATCCGAAGGTTGCGAACTCTTAGCAAAAAATCGATAAAAATGTTGCCAATCTTCTCTTTAAGATGAAAGCAGAAAAAAAGTATAAATGATTATTGAGGTGAAATAAAAGTCTAAGGTGCTTCAACACTTTAAAGTGTCGACCCAGCATGTCTTAAAAATGGATGTAACTTTTCACAGCTGTCTGAATCTATGTGAGGGATAAGGGAATGTTGAATAAAAGCTTACATAGTGGAAAATTTCCACTTGATTTCAGCCATTAGACAAATATGACGTCAGTGCTTATTACACAGGATGATATATTTTGCGGCTCACAAAACATAAACGAAATCTTATATTGAGAACCTTATCAGAATTGCATTATTTAGCTTCAAATTTGTTTGCACAATCAATATTTGATAAATGTGATGATTGTTAGTTAAATTTCAGTAACGCGCGTCATATGAGTATTTAGAGTCTCCATGCTCCAACGGAAGCTGAGCCCCCCCCCCCCCCTAGAAAGAAAAAATTTAAGCCCCCCCCCCTGGACAAACTCCTGAATACATCCCTGTTTACCTACATTAGAGCGCATCGAGAGAATCTCTATCCTTATATACAACCTCGGGTATCATTATTATAATACTTATTGTAACTATAAGATGTAAGTTTACCTAGAGAATATTGTTTATCAATGTTTTCCACGTGATTTACGAGACTTCCATTTCCATTCGCCACCAGAAACTTCAGAACTGCGTCACTGAAACAAGTTGAAAATCTCTCAAACAGAAAAAAGACACGATGAAGAGCATGATGCATGTTGATCTCGAGGGGCCTTCAATTTAGTAGAGTAGTACATCCGATTAACAAAGGTACCCTTTTAACCTTTGGCTTATCATCAAGGCTGGGGGGGGCACTCTAGTTATTGCTAGCACTCTCTTAGATAACACTATCATCCCCTTGACATTTTTTCACTTTTTAGGAAAAGTAATTAAAAGGATTTTTTGCTATCATTTTTGCAGGGTGGTAAAAATCCTGGTCCATGTAAAAATAAATTTAAAATAGCCCATTTCTTTTTTGTGACTTAAGCTAAAGATCTAAAAACTACATTTTTAAAAGCCCTTGAAAAATGGATGTACAAACTTGTGTCACTTCTTGGTTTGTCAACAACAAAAACAAAATATGCTTTTACATTTTTTTAACTCTTTTTTCGCATTTTTTTCAAACCTTCCTTGCACCCAAACTGTTAAAGTTAGGAGTCCAATTTTTTTCTTCAATGAGCTGGCCTGTGAATCAGACATGCCGGTTTTTTAAATGAAATGAATAGTCATTTTTACACAAAAAAGGTTTAATTTGTTTTTGAAATTTTAAAATACCTTAAACCGGAAATGAAGACATTTCTTTGATCTTTCGCATATGTTGGTGCATTCTGTAAACACGCAGCTGAATCTACTGTATTAAACATTTTAGCCACAGCTTTTAGCTCGTCTTCATCTGCTGATTCGTCGCCATCAGCTGTTTCCTTGACATCAGCTGATTCCATGACATCAGCTGATTCTAGATCTTCTAAAGGTAGTTCCAGAGTTGGTAATCCACCAGAGACATTTACACTGGTAAACAGAAGTTTGGGATTTAACTCCTATAAACAAACAAAACAATATTAATTAGATAAAATGTTATTTGCTTAATAACGATATTGGTTATTTTGTTTACAGCAAATTAACAAATGGAGTATTGTCATCTTTGTAAGCATTGAAAAACAAAGAAGAAAAGAATTTCGCGGATTTTATGCAAAAAAAAAATCACAAATTTTTCAAATTTTAATCATTAATAAACCTTCCATGGGGTCACGTGAGGTATTTTATTTTAAACTAAAATACCGCTATGGATGCAGTAAAAACAAGAAAACTGTAGAATAGAAAGACGACATTAATAATATGATCAATTGTATTTGATGTTGTTTCGCATCAAATATTTATACAGTGACTTAAATCAAATCACGTATTAAGTGAAATTAGTATGTTTACACAACACAATTTATTTGTCTTATGTTCATTAGATAATTTAAATCTAAAGGTCGTTTTCCTATTCCAGAGTTTTCTCCTTCTCACTGTATTTCATTTAAATCAAAAATGTCCCAGTAAAAATGTCCATGTGAAATTTTCAGATATTTTGCAATTAAATATTGTAAATCAGGAATTGACATCTTTGCATGGAGGGTCGCTTGAAATTACACTTACAGTCCCTTTCATATTTATTTATTTTTTTTCTTCCTTTTTAATCAAGTAATGGAAGAATTATAATTCCATCTGAGCGATAGATCCATTGGATTGATATAATTGATTGAGTTTTTGTTCGGAATCTGCCATCAATCGATTAATCAACCGTTTTCTTCTGAGTTCTTTAACATTTTCTCTTTTTTCGGAAACCGTTTGTAAAAATTTATAACCGTGGATACATTTTTTACAAAAATCAAATTAGAGAATGGCTTAAAGGGTTGTGTTAAAACAAATTCGAAATATAAGGAAGACGATTTTTCCGACCCAAATGCCGTAGCCTTTTCTCAAGATGCGTGTGTACACAAGATCCATTTCCGCCATGAAGTACACACATGTAACCCTCGCTCCTTCTTTCCCCGCCTCACCCCTCTATAACACATCCCAGTCAGTCATGTTAGGACAGTTGAACTAGTAACAGCTCCGACACATTTAACCGGAATATATTAATACAATGAAAGAGTTTCTGTAATGTCGTCTTGTAAAATAATTACTGATTATTGCCGCTGAAAGTTTATAAAGGTTTCTGCTGGCAGCTTTAAAAGTGATATATATTTAAGTTAAGAATACATAAACAAATTTATTTTTGGTTAAAAGAGAAATAATCAAAATTTATTTCTTGTAAAAAAATCTATTAAAATTCTGTCATTGTATTTATGGGATATGTACATTGTACATGTACAATTGAACTGGTACAATGTACATGCATGCTGGAATATTAGCATGTATTTACAATAACTTAAATTTTTATTTTTAAGTATCCATAAACATAATTTTTTAGTTTCCTGTGCGTCTGTACTTGTATATTATTGTGGAAAAGTATGATATTGTCCACATAAATATCATCTCTGAAAAATAAATTTAGTGAAGCAAATTTTCGAATAACTGTCATTTTTTGTATTTCAAATTAAATAGTTTTTCATTGGAAAATATTTCAAATATTGAATATTAATACTTTATTTGTTGCAGTTCCTTCTTTAAAATATTTGATATTTTGTTAACTGTAAAATAACTTTTTTCTGTAAGGATTCGAATCATAAAAACTGCAAAAAACAGTTTGATAAAATATTGTCAGAAGAAATACTTTTCGAATAAAAGTTTAAAGGGACTGATGTTCGTTTATTAGGCTCTATGTCCGATTCACAACTGTACTTTTTAAACATTTGTCGGAGTAAAAATTACGGAGTAAAAATTGGCAAAATTCATTATTTTTTGAGAAAAAATTGGCAGAATTCATCATTTTTTGAGAAAAAAATACATTATTTTCCTTGTTGTTACCCCGATAGATGATTAGAGGGTATCGTTGCCAATAGAACATGCAACTTTTTAATGAAGGGACACTTCAAGTTACGTCTAAATTTCCCTTTAAAGCATTATCTAACCTAATATATTCATGAAGAATACGCTTCACTGGGTCCAAACTAAATTCATGAATGACATTAGAAAATTGTAATTATTTTTTCCATAAAGGATAGTCCATGACTAAAGGAAATGAGTTTTTGCCACAAGCTCAAAATTATAATCCCCACATCTATATGCAATCCGATGTTGTAGATCTTTAGTATTTCAAACTTTGAATTCTGTTAGAGCAAAGAGCCTAAGTTTGAAACAACAACGGTTTACACCATCAGGTTTTAAAGAAATAGGGATTAGAAAATTTGAGTTTGCGGCAGAAACTCAATTCCTTTGTGCTACAACGTCAAAATTATCTGTTTGTTGATTTGTTAAGTTAGTTTCTTGGTTTGTTTTTAGTTTCATCTAATTAACATGAAACTGACTGAAAACTCGCCACAAATCCTAATTTTCTAATTTTTACATCTCTGCAACTTGATATTTTGATATTTCAAACTTGAACAATTTGATTTATTAGAATTGATATTTTATAAAAAGTTTACGATATCAGGTTCCAAAGAGTTAGTTTGTGGCAAGTGTTCAGTTACCGGTTGTGATAAATCAATGACTCTATAAGTGAAAATATATGGTCGGTCAAAATTCAAGGGTAAAAGGTCAGTTGGCAAACCTCCCTTCATCCTTTCTTCTATACTATTTACAAAATGATCTGAATTTATGTTTTTATGTCATTCTGTGCCTGGCGTTGAAGTTACTGAGAGTCTGAACTTCTTCCAGTTTTGAAACTAATTCAATATTTTTCAAAAGATCAGTTTTCTCCAAGCTAACCTGAAAAGTTTTCTTGAATACAAAAGTGAGAAAGTTCATTGGTTTTCTTCATGAAGTAAAATACTAGTAAATAAGTTTTGTTATGTTGTTAAAAGTGTGAAATATATATATAATATATACATAATAAATATATAAAAAGTAACTAGCTTGGAACCCCAGCTTTGCCTGAAGTTTTTCCTACAGAAGTAAAACTTAAAATTTTTAAACTACACGGTAGGAAAATATATATATTAGTTTGGGTACAAGTTTGACACAGTTTTATATCAATTTCTCGAGATAGAACTCTTATATGTCTCGATCAACTCCTGAAGTTCTTGGGTTTCAGCCTATACCCCCTTTAATTTTTCCTTTACAGTCCCTTCAAATTTTGATTTACAAGGTCAATGGAGCTCGAGCTCAGATTCAGCAAAAGTGCAGGGTTTTACCAAGATTACATTCATTGAGAAAATATGAGATAAAACTAAATGTATGGATAAAAGAAATGATGACGATATTTACCTTTACACAGGATTTAGAGAAAAGAACGAGATTTGACTCCTCTGCGCGAGCAGAAACCATAACACTGTTTATTTTCAAACATTGCCCATCAAAAAAAGTTCTTGTCTTTTGCATTAAAATAATATCCATGCAATTTTTTCTTTATCAAAAATTTTTACAAAATTAGAAATATCTTTCTTTAGAAAGTTGTGAAAAATTTTTATTTTATTTTTTATCTGGAGGTATTATACTACAGGTTGTCCCAATAAACATGGGAATTCAGTGAAGAATTCGATATCGTCTTTTTAAATAAATCTTTGATTTAGTATAGTGATACCTACTGAGAAAGCTGTAATCTGTAGAAGTTTCGTCTGCTATGTTCACATTTTGTTTGTTTATGTTTTGACTGCATACGGTTGTACTTAGTAAAACAAGAAAAGTGCAGTATACAAAGTTACAAACAGGGTAAACTTGTCCGTATTCACTGTTCATCTAGCGGAGAAATTATAGACACCTATTTACAGTCGTCTACCCTTTTCATAAAATAAACTCTAGTAGACATAATAATATTATGGCTTTTGAAATCAGGTATTACAATACTAATTCATTACAAAGACAATATCGAATTCGTCACTGAATTCCCATGTTTTTTGGGACACCCTGTATATCCAAATATGTTCTATTGAAAAAAAGACAATGTTGATTCCTGTAGAGCAGAGCTGTATCACGGAGAGTAGCTCCAGTATTCCCTATACCTCGCCCTGCCCCCATCTTTACTAATCCATCCAGACCATAGGAGCATAGAACCAGACTTCTACCCTAGATATATATACATAGGAGCATCAACAGACTTCTACCTTAGATATATATACATAGGACCTAGAACCAGACTTCTACCCTAGATATATATAAATAGGAGCATAGAACCAGACTTCTACCCTAGATATATATAAATAGGAGCATAGAACCAGACTTTTACCCTATATATATATATATACATAGGAGCATAGAACCAGACTTCTACCCTAGATATATATACATAGGAGCATAGAACCAGACTTCTACCCTAGATATATATATATACATAGGCGCATAGAACCAGACTTCTACCCTAGCTATATACATACATAGGAGCATAGAACCAAACTTCTACCCTAGATATATATATACATAGGAGAATAGAACCAGACTTCTACCCTAGATATATATATACATAGGAGCACAGAAACAGACAATCTATCCTAGATATATACATAGGAGCATAGAACAAGACTTCTATCCTAGATATATATACATAGGAGCATAGAACCAGGCTTCTACCCTAGATATATATACATAGGAGCATAGAACCAGACTTCTATCCTAGATATATATATAAATAGGAGCATAGAACCAGACTTCTACCTTAGATATATATACATAGGAGCATAGAACCAGACTTCTACCCTAGATATATATATATA